CTGCAACTTCATCACCAGCGGCACCATCACCCTTTAAAATGTTAATGCTAAATAACATGCTGGCTTGTTGGATCTTCTCTGCAGTCCCTTTAGGAGAATTATGTATATCCTGTGGGATCTGGGGATGCTGAACTAAATGGTCCACAATTCTGTTCATTGCCATTATCGTTCATTTTTGCCTTACACATTTTTAATGCTCAGTGCTTCTTCCTTGCTTCAGCCTTCCAGCTCAGAAAGACCAATGTACAAACTGCATCGGACAGGGCAGAAGCACACTGTGCAGCTATGGGGCCTTCAGCTCATTACATAAGCAGCTCAGTGGCATAAGCACCTCAGGAGGGTAAAAATGCAGGGATGCAAGGCCACACAGATGATGCTCTGCTACACAGGTCTGTGACAGGGTGATTGGTAGGAAACAGAGGGGCATTATACAATTGCAGTGATGCAGAAAAAGCTGGATGCATGTCTCAAATCTGCTTCTTCCCACCTGCTTCAGCATGCACAGCTAAATGCCAGTGCTTTCCCACACCACCACATGCTCTGGGGGTTCCCAAGAACATTTTCTTGACATTAAAGTTCCACAATCAGAGCAGATGTAGGAGATTCGCAACCCTCTACGTATTCCAAACTTTTAGAAACATGACCAGAAACAAGGACAAATGTCCGAGGCTGACACTTCTAGTGACATCTCACTGTCAGGCTGGACTTGTAGAGACTTTGACCACACATGGCTTCTTCGGTGGATGAAATCCTACCACAAGCTCTGAGACAGCAGTGCAGATTGCTTCAATTACCAGCTGAGCAAGTGGTGGATGCTTTTTCACTGGGTATGGGGTAGAGGAACACTAGGTTTCACCAAACAGAATATCCTAAATGCTAGAGCTGCATCTTGCCTTTTGTATAAAGTTCGCAAAGTTGAGAGGCAGAGCAAAGGAAGGGATTTGGACAGAGGCAATTACAGGAGAGAACACTTTAAAGAGCTTCAGGGCTCAAGGAGGCCTTGCAAGGAGTTTGTCAGTAGATCGTATGTCAGTGCTACTGAGCCTACTGCTAGTTAGGGCAATGCCATGTATAAACTACAACTCTGGCTTGTATATGAATTTTAAATGAGCTGTTAGTACACCCGATGAATCTAGCAAGAGAATACCAATTTAGGGCTCTGACGTCCTGCTCCATAAGACCCAAGTAAATAACTCATTAAATAACTCAAGTAAATTTCCTGACACTTTATTAAGCATGAGTGAACAAACAAAAAAACAAAACCAGAATTACTGCTACCACCAGTATATGCTGCAGGAAACAAGAGCTAGGGGAGATGCTGGCCCACAGCACACTGCACCAGCCATCCAGCCATCCTCCTTTCTGCCCCTGGGGCAGGCAGGAGGGAGCGGATGCCTTTTGTGATTTTGGTGCAGATGGATGGAAGAGAGCACGTGTTGGGCAAACACCAACTATTGGGTTTTGCTCCCAGGACATATATTGGCTCTTTCAAGGGCTACAGGATGTCTCAAGGTAATTCCTCACATACCTCCTGAAGCTCTTGAAAACCTTAAAGAACATGCTGATTCCTGCCTGCTTCTTCATCCCCAAATCACAATCAACCTTTGAGCATCTAGGGAGGTTACACCTCACCAAGACAGACCAGGTGAGCTGACTGATAAACAAAAGACACTCTTAGAAAAAAGCCACTATTTGAATAAAGTATGTGTGTCGGTGGTTTTCCCCACAACCGTCTCCAGCACAACGTAAACTAGGAGATTTTCTTCAGGATGGGATCAGAAGGGAATACACAGAGTTTAAGGCTGAAAAAAAGGTTTGCACTAATGTTTTTTTCCTGTGTGTCAAGGAAAGAAACAGAGCATAAATAGTCTGCAGATTGTTCCTATGCATGCCAAAGGCACAGGGAAGGTCACACTGTAGCCTACATTCTGCTCACTTTTTTGCATAGATGATGCCTCCAAACCACTCTGCAATGCAACACTGATTGCTGGTTCCATCCAGGCTAGCAAAACTTCCTGTCACTGTGTGCTCAAAGATTAAACAATCTGCTGCTTAGAAACTCCACTGAGAAAAATCAGGGCCAAAATCCACCCGAAACCCCAAGAAGGCAGCAGCAGGGAAGCTCAGCACTCAGTTTAAAAGCCAAGCCAAGCGCCCCTGACTCAGCAGCACTGTGCCTCCTTCTACCCTGGAAGCCAAGCGCAGCAGGCAATAATCTCTTCTAGCAACTTGGTGAACCACCCAGACACGACATTGTCTATGTTCACCTCACATTACTAATCATAAAACTGTGCATTTGAGTGGCCTATTACCAGATGGCTTTCAGAATTATTTTAAATGTTAGCTTGCCTTTTCTTTGAATATTTAAATGTTCATGCTGGTCTGTTTTCCTTTTCTATGCAGTGCATTGATTTATGTTGCTAGATAACATATCTCCCTGCCTTGCCAAAAGCATACATTTGGGAATGATTTCAGGGATGCTAGTAATATTTTTTCTCTCCTTTTATTTTGTACTTTATTTTTATTAACTTTTTTGCTGCATATATTGTTAAAATAAAACTGTGTCTTGAAGAAACAAAACCAAAACCCCAAACCTCTTCTCAGCTCTTTGCCCATCTGCTTCAGACACCATTTTTAGAGAAGTTAGCTCTGAGGCCATGAGCAAAGCAAAAGCAGCAGACATACTAAGATGAGCCTCCCCCCCTCAGTAAATTCTTGCTTTAGGCTCATGAGTGGGAATCAGCTGGGCCCAAGGTCAGGACTACTGTTGTCCCATTCTTAGGAGGGAGGAGGTGACTGGAGGCACCTGTTCAACACTGTCGGGCACAAAAGCCATGACCTCCAGTGCCTTTTAGAAGGATCGGAGAAGTTCCTTCCCATTCCCTCACCAACATTACTCCTTCTTTGAATTCTAAAATTCTACATTGCCTTGGCAATATCATAATAAAAGTTCTTAAGTCCTAGCAGGATTCAGATTTCTACTGCCTTGCCCTGTGCCCGCTAAGGAAATCGAGCATTTCCATCCTGGACTGGATGTGTGTAGTGTAGTACACTGTGCAGCAGTGGTGTAAGTTTTTTCAGCAATTGTGTCTGGAGCAGCTCCATCATTTTTGCAAAGTAAAGTCAAAAGCAAAGAATTCCTAAAGGCATGAAGATTTTAGAACCGGAGAGATGGGTCCCAGAGAGCATGACCTCAGTGCAAGAGAGTTGAAAACCACTGGTGGAGCAGCCTCTGGGATGGAGACCAAAGCACTGGCAGACCGTTGCTGGGTAACTCTGCACAGCAACCTACCTACCAGCCCTGCAGCCCTCAGCCTCGTACAGATGCATGGTGCTGAAGAAAGCTTTACGTTTAATTGGCATGCACTCAGCTATTCACCACCATGCGTCCCTGCACAAGGCACTGGGACATGTGAACTATGCCTGTGTTCAAGTGTGTGAGTAATTTCTATTATGGAAATGACTTCAGGCCCCAGCAGTGTGTCAAGATCTCCTTCACTCAGCAGCGGATACCAGGCACTGAAGAAAAAACTAGTATTTGGACAGATGGAGTGAGACAGATTTTCTACCACGACCGCAGTTGCTCATGTGTCCCCCTGAACACACAGACACCTGGGTTTCTTCTTGCCTGCCCTCAGGGGTCAGCACCCACATGGCCTCATGGCAGCCACCACCAACTCCACTTAGGGAGCCTCTGAGCATGCACTGAGCTGAGACCTGGAATGCAGCAGCTAATCACGCTTGGTAGTTGCCCCCAGAGCAGTGCAGCACCGATTTTCATTTCCAGTCCCCAGCCAGGAGAATAAAAGCACAGTCCTATCCTTCTCAAACACCTTCCCGTTTCACTCTGGGTTGCACTGAGGAGGTGGACAACCACGTCAGCTCCCAGACTGGTTTGCAGCCCAGGCTGCTACGTGCGCTGCCAGGGGAGCTCCTCTTCCTCTCGCACTCCCAAGCACCCACAGTACCTTCCCCAAAGGAGGAGATGGCTGGGGCACAAAGCGTAATGAAGGATCTTTCACCTTCAGCATCCTGATAATATACCACCCATCTCCATATCCGTCTGCTGGCTCAAGTGGAAGATCTGCCGATCAACATGAAATGCAGTCTGCAGATCTGGGACTACGCGGCATGAGTGCTCCACATGAATCACAGATGCTGGGGATATAAAACACCCAGCCACCCTTCCCAGACTCCTGCCAGCACAGGCCCTCCCTTGCTATATTTCTGGGCTGCTCCATTCTCCACTAGAAGAGGGAAGTAATTGTACTTCAGGTGTCACCTGTGAAAGTTGCAAATGGGGACAGGAATAGATTAGCTTGTTATCTGCAACAAATCGTTAATAAAACCAGCTGGTAGCTCCAGAGAAAACAGTCAGGTAAAGCAGGTTTTTTTCTAAACAACAGAGCAAGTTTCATTACAAGGTTTCTGGATGCATTTCTCTTCCCTAATCTGCACAGGCAACAAGTGAAGATGACGGTGCCTCTTCCTGAACACTTTAATAAAGCCCAAAGGAGACTGAATGCATAGTACTTATAAATGGAGCATTTTGGAGTTGTTAATGTTCTTGTGGCACTGCTTAACTAGGGTCAGTTGGGGCTCAAACACTCCTTGCTCAACAACATGGGGCTAAATACATTTGTGACAAAGAACTACTTCCTTTTGGATGGAGCTCAGGAGAGCATCAAGGGGGTTAAGGCAGATGAGGGGAGCAAGTTTCATCCCTCAGTGCCTCTTTGAGGAGTGACTTTCACTTCAGATTTATACAGAAATGTATTCCCATCAGAGAACATTACCACCATAAAAATCAATGCAAATACGTACACTTAATAGAAAAATAAATTTCATTTACAAGATGAGGGAAAGATGCATTTAAAAGATGAATCCCAGGCACCCCAGGCAAGTCTTGGCTTCCCTTGTATGAGCACATCTGCACAGAGTGGCCCAAACCACAAGTGGAAGGATGGTTAAATGCAGGGTAGAGCAAGCTTTGTACTCACCAATCCTCAGGGAATGGGGGCTGGCAGCGATCTTCATTAGCCACAGCAGAAGGAGCACCAGAGGCGCCAAGACACAGGGCATCTTCTATAAATCCTCATGGAGCCCTTCGGTGGTCTGGGCATGACATAACTCTGCAGAGAGAGAACACACGGCACTGTGAGCACCTCAGCTCTCGAACCAGCGACTCAGCAGGATGACACTGCTTGGTGCTTGCCAAGCCCTTGGGACAAAGAGTCTATTTACCAAAGAAGGAGGAGGAGGAAGCTATTTACAGACTATGAATTATTCAGGAATTGGAGTCAAACTGGGCAAAGAGCTTCTAACAAAAAATGGAAAAGAAACACAAGGAAAAGTCCAAATATTTCATCTTGGCATTTTTAGCATTTCCACAAAAACAAATGGAAATCAATACTGAGTCACATCTCTAATTTTTCTCCCACCCCCTTTTCTTTTTTTCACTCAAAGCAGCCTGCAACTTAAAATATAATACTGACTACTGGTTTTAGGATAGGACAAAACATTTTCACACCAAAATATAATTTGAGGGATGGGAGTCAGAGACAGAGAGTCACTTTGGCCACCAAACTAGAAACCAATTCTTGGTACCGCTTCAGCCCAAATGACAGTCACCACCTCCTTCCCTCCCTGTCATGTGCAAGAGGATTCAGGACAAGACCAAGAGCAGGACCATTCTTTTGTCCTCTTACGAGGTAACACCACTCCCAACACACAGAGGTCTAACTTTCAAAGTCCAAACACCATCAGAATGAAGAGCAGCAAGTGGAGAATCCACAAACGTATCATTAGTTGGCACCAGTTGTCCCACAGCAGACTCTTGAAACAAATTTTTAACAAATACCATTTTAAACAGCTACGTAGAGGGTAGATTTTACTTCATAGGAGAAATGGTTGTCCCTCAAGTTGATAAAATTATCTCTGCAGACAGCAACGTCCTTAAATGCTGACTTTGAGTATTTAATCTGTTACCTTATCTCTCCCTTCTCCAATTTTCTGGCAAACATTCTCACACTATTCCATTTGTCTAATTCTTGGGCCAAATACTGAAGTCCTGACACAGGCAAAGTCTTTAATCTGCCTTTGAAGCTACCAGGAGTTTTGTTCGAGAAAGACGTCGCTTTTAACTTGCAATTTTTCAAATCAGCTATTTTTAGATTACATATAGACTTCTGCCACCTCGTCCCAGCACTCCCCAGAGGGGCTATCCCCTTTTTACCAACAGGGAAGAGAAGCAGATGAAATATTGAGATGTGGCCATAGAAATGAAGGCAGCGCAGGGACTGAGCAGGGAGCCACTGCACATCTCCATCCCCTGTGGCTTGTTCTTTTTCTGGATCACATCTCCCTTGGGAAGGTCCCACCAGCAGCCCTGCCTTCTGAGTCCCAGTTCTTTCCATTTGAGAAAATTGAGGGACCCCGTGCTCAAGTGTCCGTTAGACATTTGAAGAGCATCATGAATTCAGAAGTTGTATGCTCAGCACATTTTTAAAAAGTAGAAGCTGCCAAAAACCACCTGGAAATCATTAGCCACCTCTACGAAGGGCAATGGCAATTTTCTTTTTTTTTAGCACGAGTTACAGAGTAATGACTAGGGAGGAAAAGCCCTAAAATGTTAAGCGCATGGCAAATTGGTTACTTAGAAGTGTTGGCAGCAGCAGAGACAGATTGTGGAGCAACATATCATTTGAGTACTTTGAAGAGGTTATTTCCAAACTTTCCAAGTTATTCACAAAACAGCAGGATCACGTCAAATTTACTCACACAGGTATTACAGCCCAGGCTGCAGAACCAGTGCTTGCAGTGCTGAGGTCGCACAGTCACACACACATCCTCTCTCAGTCCTTCCCGGCAGAGCCAGAGAAGGAGCCGAGGATCTTCAAGAGGAGCTCGAGGTCCGCACCCCGAGGAGCTGACCATGCTCAGGATCGGCTCCAAAGCCACTCCCCAGGACTCAGAGTCTTGATTTCCTCCTTTAGGTCCTACTTGTCCCACTGCTACCCCAGGCGTGCTTCCTAGGGTAAAAAGGGACCTGTAAAAAGCATCCTGAGCAGCCCTCAGCACCAGCGGTGGTTAACAACTACACCTTGACTAGCAAAGCATCTGACCTAGGACCTCAGATGTGTTTTGCCTTCTGTCTCCTCCACTGTTCCCTCCTGCCTGGCCAAGGCAGTCTCGAAGAGGCTACCAGAGCCACTGGAGGCGGAGAAAGGCTCCAAACACATCCTGGGACACAACTGAGAAGACCAGCCACGTCTCGTCCCTGCTGTTTCCCCACCACGGCCCCGCTGCAATCTGCCAGCTGCTTACACGTTGCCTCTTTGCTCAAAAGAGCAACTTGTCAAAAGGTGTTTGTACCAGAAAGTAGACAGAACCTTTGGTGCTTTGCACCGCAACATCACGCTTAGCAAGGTGCCTGCTCCCCCTCCTCGCCTCTTCCCTGGGCAGACCCTTCCCTGCCCATGGCACTCAGCATGGAACGGCAGCACACAGCTTGGTCCCAGGGAAAGGTGGGGCAAACACTCAGATTTGCCAGTGTTTCTCACACAAATGAGAAGGGATAAAAGAAGCCACCACACTCAGAGACGCAAGAAGATCCAGGCCTGAGATGAGGTCAGTGCTAAAGCAGGTTTCCCTGCCACAGTGCTGAGCTCACTCCTTTGGGATGGACAGAGAGATGACAGCCTTTGGCTACACTCCCCACTAGCCACCTCGCCTCCATAACACTGACCGCATCCATCTAGTATCATCTGGCAAGGAGTTTTAAGATCATGCCTTTGTGCAGATAAATACAGTGATCCCACCTGCAGCAAACACTTTGTATCTGCATCTAAAAGGCAGTCACTAAGAGGGAAAAGCAAGGCAGCAGCCTAACTGTGTCTCTGGACCAGGGCAAGGAAAGAAGATAAAAAACCCTCACAGTTTCCAGACAAAGCAGTGGAGGGAAATGCCTGCCTGCCATTTGAGGAGGATGCTGGAATTAATATCCCCACTGTTCTCTGCCAAAGCGCTATGGGATCACCATGCTAAAATGGGTGGTTCTCATTTCAGACTCTGCAAAGAAACTGCACAAGGGTAACCACTCCAGGCAAACTACAAACAGCCAAGGCATGGGAAAGGGTCCTGTGACTTCCAGCTCTGAGGGACAGACCTCAAGCCCACCTCTCCTGTTTGCAGCCTGGTTTGGTGAAGAGGCGAATTACGAGATTCCCAGAGAAGCAGCTGCCTTTGCATCACCAGCTCAGAGTTAATAGCAAAGCTAAATAATAAATACAGGGCACCCGCTGTGTTCTGCTACGTGAGCGGCAGGGTTGTAATTACCTAGAACATGGAGCACAGAGGGATGCTGCGTTCACCTAACACATTACCCACTGCTAAGAATGGCTTCCCAGTACTTTGATTTTTAAGCACGAACCCAGGGAACAGCTGTCAGCGATAGAACTACACCTTGGGGTTCGCCAAACAGCAGAACTACACAGGCTCCCATGAACTCTACCTATACACCATCTGGGTTGATGGAGGTGCTTGCAAAATACCCAGGGAGTGCAACACTATGCCACTTCCCCACCGTCCCACCTGCACCACCAAGCAGTGGGAACAGACACTGAAATTCAAGATGTAGGATGAGAGGGAAAGCAGAGAGGATTTTTCTTCCTAGCCTGACATCAAGGTTTCTATTCTCAAAGGAACAAAGAGGTATTTCAGTCCTCATGGCTCTCTTCATCTCCCCAGTCCCCAAGTTTCTCCTGCCTCCTACTCTCTACATTCAGGCACAAAAGCGTAGTAAACACAGTTCAAACTCCGTTGCTGTAAAGTAATGTTTGCCTTGCTGAGCTAGCTATACCCCCAACAGCTTTTGCCTCCTCACAGCTGCAAGGTGCACGTGTCTGTCTCTCATTTCACCGTGGGAAGCTACAAAACATTATTTCTGCCCTGGTGCAGCAATGAATTATAGGTACAACTGGGGCAACAACTCCAGTGCAGCCCGAAATTCCACCCAGAGAGAGAAGAAAGATAACATTCTTCTTTCACACAACACAAAGCAGAAAGCCTTAGAAGCCAAGAAAATACTTAAAAGAACAAGGATATTTAGCAACTTGCTGCACTAATTCTTGTGCATGTGAAGATGACTTATCCCAGACTCATCCTTGCCACGAATTGCTGGAAATAAATCAAACCAACTTCCTTTGCTAAGGTTTCCACCAAGAACGTCACAGCCTGTACATTTACAGCTCTTGCAGTAATGGTTCCTCTTTATTGTACTGGCAGTGTGCTATGATAGCAAGTGAGCCTGGTTGATGGACAGCTGTTTATAAAGCAGTCTGAATCCTCTACTCCCAAAAAGAGCAGACTGGCTAGAAATTAGTTTCTTAGGTCCTTCAGGGTGGTACAGGAATTGCTGAGTTGCTGGTGGATCATGAGCTGGCCCCTGGCTTCTCTCTGCACAGCACAAGCGTGTAATTCTTTTTCTGTTAAGCCCTTTTTCGTCTTTAGCTCTGAAAATGCAAGAGAATAAAATAAATCAAGACTATACTGAATAGTTTTGAGCTCTCTCTGGAGATAAAAGTCTCTAAATACCAAGCAGAATTATAGACGATTTGCTTCTCAGAGGAAGCAACTTGCTTCTGAAATAACTTATACATTTTTAATGACCATGTGAGATGGTCTTCTTTGTTGCTATCACCACATTTTCCTGATATTTTGAGATTTTTGCAGAAAAATTCTTAGATGATACAGCAAAAGCCAAAAGGCAGAATAAATGTTAAATCACAGAATAAAACTCTCCTGAGGTTGCCACACCAATAATGAAGATCTCCCTGAACACCAGACACCTCTCTTCTCTCCCTCTTGTTCTCTCTGCTCAACCTGCCAAGGACACTCAAGAAATCCAGGTGCATTGCTACTTCTGTTCACAATTCCAAAGATATTGCCACCCTGCAAAATCTGTTTGCCACCTGCCTTGGCACATCTGGCCTGCAACATCTGGCCCCAGTGAGTTGGGGAACCCTGGAGATGTACTGCATCCCAGCAAGGCAGAGCACAGCATCTCCAGCTGCACTGGCAGTTTGTTCTACAGTCCTGGAAGGTAGTGCCAGGACCAGGCTTTCAAAAACCC